AGGAATGTCCTCTGGTCTGATGAAACAAAAATAGAACTATTTGGCCATAATGACCATAGTTATGTTTGGAGGAAAAAGGGGGTTATTGCAAGCCGAAGAACACCATCCCAACCGTGAAGCACGGGGGTGGCAGCATCATGCTGTGGGGGTGCTTTGCTGCAGGAGGGACTGATGCATTTCACAAAATAGATGGCATCATGAGGAAGGAAAATTATGTGGATATATTGAAGCAACATCTCAAGACATCAGTCAGGAAGTTAAAGCTTGGTCGCAAATGGGTCTTCCAAATGGACAATGACCCCAAGCATGCTTCCAAAGTTGTGGCAAAATGACTTAAGGACAACAAAGTCAAGGTATTGGAGTGGCCATCACAAAGCCCTGACCTCAATCCTATAGAAAATGTGTGTGCAGAACTGAAAAAGCATGTGCGAGCAAGGAGGCCTACAAACCTGACTCAGTTACACCAGCTCTGTCAGGAGGAATGGGCCAAAATTCACCCAACTTATTGTGGGAAGCTTGTGGAAGGCTACCCGAAACGTTTGACCCAAGTTCAACAATTTAAAGGCAATGCTACCAAAGACTAATTGAGTGTATGTAAACTTCTGACCCACTGGGAATGTGATGAAATAAATAAAAGCTGAAATAAATCATTCTCTCTACTATTATTCTGACATTTCACATTCTTAAAATAAAGTGGTGATCCTAACTGACCTAAGACAGGGAATGTTTACTAGGATTAAATGTCAGGAATTGTGAAAAACTGAGTTTAAATGTATTTGGCCAAGGTGTATGTAAACTTCCGACCTCAACTGTATATTTTCATAATTAATAGGCTGACACATTACCTTTAAATCAAATCAAATCAAATCAAATTTGTATTTGTCACATGCGCCGAATACAACCTTACAGTTTACTTACTTGCCCTTAACCAACAATGCAGTTTTAAGAAAGAATAACAAAATAAATCACACTAAAATACAATATAAAATAATACAAAATAAAAGTAACAAGTAATTAAAGAGCAGCAGTAAAAATAACAATAGCGAGGCTATATACAGGGGGTACCGGTACCGAGTCAATGTGCGGGGGCACCGGTTAGCTACAGAATATCTCACCACTGTGTGTTTCCATCACCTCCTCTCTCTCCTTCATTCCTTTCTCGAGCACGTAGGGAGTGGAGAGAGGGGCAGTCAACAGTTTAATGAAATATGTTTAATTGTGAAAACATGTTTCTATCCATGTTCCCAAACAGATTTCACTTTGTTTCCCAAATTAAGCAGTGAGTAGCTGCAGGAACAGGGTTGGAGAGCCTGTGGCATTCAGAGTTTGGTCGGAATATCACCTGCCTTGCAGCGAGACGCTGCATGCTCCTTAAACAGTGGCAGCTTCATTAAATAGTACCCGCAAAACACCAGTCTTAACGTCAACAATGAAGAGGCGACTCCGGGATGCTGACCTTCTAGGCAGAGTCACAAAGAAAAAGCCATATCTCAGACTGCCCATCTTTTCTTTTTATTGGCCAGTCTGAGATATGGCATTTTCTTTCCAACTCTGCCTAGAAGGTCACCATCCCGGAGTCGCCTCTTCACTGTTGACATTGAGACTGGTGTTTTGTGGGTACTATTTAATGAAGCTGCCAGTTGAGGACCTTTGAGGCACCTGTTTCTCAAACTAGACACGCTAATGTATTTGTCAAGAATTGACTGACGAGTTTCAGAATAAATGTATTTGTTTCTGGCCATTTTGAGCCTGTAATCGAACCCACAATTGCTGATGCTCCAAATACTCAACTAGTATCAAGAAGGCCAGTTTTTTTGCTTCTATAATCAGCGCAAAGGTTTTCAAATGATCAATTAGCCTTTTAAAATGATAAACTTGGATTAGCAAACACAACGTGCCATTGGAACACAGGACTGATGGTTGCTGATAATGGGCCTCTGTACGCCTATGTAGATATTCCATTAAAAACCAGCCATTTCCAGCTACAATAGCCATTTACAACATTAACAATGACTACACTGTATTTCTGATCAATTTGATGTTGTTTTAATGGACAAAAAAATGGCTTTTCTTTCGAAAACAAGGACATTTCTAAGTGACCCCAAACTTTTGAACGGTAGTGTATATGAGATAACAATGTCGGAAGGATTTCCAAAGAATGAGCTTGAAAATAGCATAACGTCCGTGCCCTTTGACAGGCAATAATTTAAATTCGGATAGTGCATATTGCTTTTGGCATCTAATGCACACACAATACGTTTTGTGCCTCACCCCTTTGTGCCTCACCCCTTTCAAATTTAATGTGAAAGAATTAGACTGACTTTCATGTAGTAAACTAGCAGCAGAATGCAGCAAATTCCAAGTCTTGTTGAGTGAGAGAAATTACAATATGAAAATGCGAGCCTTGTGATGACATTTGATATAGATACAGTCCTTCTTCTTCTTCTCACAGTCTGGCTCCCAGTCATTATTTTACCGCCTGGATTCTTGATGAAATAAATCTGATCTTATTGAGACACACTTTTTTTTTTTACAACTACCTGTAGATCTATGTGGCTATAAATACCAGTAAATCTATTTGGCCATTGTCAGACTGTTTTCTATATGAATTGTCAGCCTCGGCAGGCATAATGTTAGTCAATCCCTCACTGTCAGGATACACAACTTGTTGACCCATCACAGAAAAACCAACAATTACCCCCCAGCCCCCAAAATAACAACTAAACCCATAAATTAATCATAGAAGACAATGAAAGCTCACACAAAAAAAAGTTTTTTTCCTCCTCAATTCCAATTGCTGTAGTGGTGGAGGAAGATTTTTGTTTTGGAATGGTGGAGGAGCTCTGGCTAGCATTTGATGTCGGGGACACTGGCACCCCCCCAGAGGTTGGCCCCCCCAGATAGCATATGAACACGTCATAAACCATGAAAAAAATATTTAGAATGACAGGAAATCAGCTCTAAAACACTAACATTTTCTCTCAGTCTCATGGCAAAATGTGTAAAATAGCAGGAAATTAGCTCTAAAACAGCAACATTTTTTCTGTCTCATGGCAAAACGTGTGAAATAGCAGGAAATTAGATCTAAAACAGTAAAAAAAAATACTTCCCCCCCTTGCTCTGACCTTGTGGGGGGCCCTGCGAAACTGCACTACGTCACTGGTCTGGGAGTGTTCATGTGTGTATGTGCATGTGTGTGTGAGCAAATAAGTCTGGGGTTTCAGCATTAGGGGATCAGAGCCACTGCAGCGCTCCCCTGCTCTCCCTTTGATCCCTATCCCCAGGCCTGCTTGCCTGCCTGCGCTGTGCACGCTAACTCAGGCCTCGTTAGTGATTCCTGACAACTGTCTGCCTGAGATAAGGGGAGGGGCTCTCTCTCTCTCTCTCTCTCTCTCTCTCTCTCTCTCTCTCTCTCTCTCTCTCTCTCTCTCTCTCTCTCTCTCTCTCTCTCTCTCTCTCTCTCTCTCTCTCTCTCTCCCCTCACCACACCACTATTATTAGCACATTAGCACAACAGCCACTTTTTCAAAACGGGGAGGAATTATATTGAAGAAACCTGCACAGGGTTTTCCAAAAAAAGAAACTATACCAGGGGAGAGAAAAAAAATGTTTTTGGCTCCCTCTCTCTCTCTCTCTCTCGCACTCCTTCTCCCTTTCAAGACACCGTGCTCCTGAATGTCAATGAAAAAGAGAGGAAGAGAGACTTGTGCCTTAGTCTCCTACGTTAAAGAAAACTTGAGGGTATTACGCTTCACTGGGCACCGTGTCAGCTGGCAAGCTCTGGTGTCAACAAATCAACAACGCCTTTCCTTCAATGCATAAGCTATGGGTACAGATCGGTGCTCTTATTTGTGCCATCATCCCTGTGCATCTTCCTCGTGACTCGTTGGGCCTCAGCCTTTGGTGGAAGGTGGAACTGTCCAGTCAAAGTTCAGCATCCGGTCAAAGATCAAAGGTCAAAAGGTTGGAAGGTCATTGAGTCTGGACTATAGGGAGGCGCTGGCCACTGATGTGAACCTGCACCAGACACCCAGGGGTGAAAGGTCAGCAGGGTGCATGTGCTTCCTGTTGGTCACGCTTACAGGTGGGTAAGCCATGATTGATTAGCCTGGATAGTGAGTGTTCAGTCCGGTTTAACCAGGCTTGATACCCCTTAGCCTAGCAAAAGGTGTGACTGTTACCTCGGTCAATCAGACCGTGTTTGGTGCTGGTCAAATGTTACTGTACCATAGGCTGATTCTCGCCATTGACGAACGGCCATTCCGTTGCAGCTCTTTACAAAATGCATACAAAACATTAGACTCTGAAAATAACCAATTTTTTAAATGATTCTCTCTCTCACTCTTTCTCTCTCTCTCTCTTTCTCTCTATGCACTGGAGTCCCCAGCTGACTTGTGCTAACAGCAGCCCTCTCCCACTCGGTCTCCAGCTGAGAGCCATTTTTATTTACATGTAATTATGGGCTATCAGCAAACCCAAACGTAAACCCAAACGGAATCTGTGGGGACATTTCTATTTTTAGCTGCGATTTATGCAAAAAAATCTGCGGAAAGCTTTTTTTTGCCTGTAGTGTAGTAACATTATTCAATAACATTGGGAACATGGTTTTATTTAAATAAATGCTTAATAATGTGTATTAGATTACAATTAACCTACGGTTATCCTTCTACTAAAGCTCAGTCAAAAATAACCTCTACACAGACTCAACCTTTATATGATAAATAAATAAATAAATAAATAAAGCGCCATCACAAAGTGCAAAGTCATAAATACAAATAATACAGTGATGAATACATCTATAAATACATAAACACCAAATAAATTGTATTAACAATTCTGTCTCTTAGTTTTTTGTTTATTCATTAACTAAGTAGCATCTGATAATAGAAAAGTCTCTCTACATCCACTGAGGTAGTGGGGAGGCACAGATGTATCGTTGCAATGTGCGCTAAGGCTGGCATCCTGTCCTGCCTAGCTGCCCACCAGCCCACTGCACTCACTTCCATAGCGTCTGCCTTGTCGATGCCTATGTATCTGTTCCACTCCTCTGTAGACACCTGGCTCAGAGCAGGGATGGCATGGACATAGTCCTTAATGTCCTTTCTTGCGTCTACCACCTGGGCTGGATCTAGAACAGTTAGTGACTTGAACAGGTGAAGGCAGGGGTGCTTCTCCAGCACAGTCTGCAGCTTGATTGAGCATGCTGCCATGGCAGACTGGAACAACTCAGTGCAGGAGAGCCTGCCTTTCTCTGGAAGCTGCCCCAGCAGCTCAGTTGTATGAGGACGCCAGTCGTCAGCCCCAGCTACTCTGCCATACTCAAACTGCATTTGCAGGTCCTCCAGCTTGCTGGCGATGTTTTGGGCTGTTGGCACAGAGGTCTCCTCCAGCTTTGTCAGGTTAGCCACTATCTCCTCACTATGCTCCACAATGAACAATGCCTGGGCCTTCAAAAAGGCACACTACGACATTTCCGGTAAGGTCGTAGTGAAGTCGGTGAGCACATCCATGTACTCTGCCAGGTACTCCACAGCATGTATCCAGGAGCCCCACCTGGTCTGCACAGCTTAAACAGGCATCACAGGAGAATGGCCATTTTCCAGCATGAATGATCTCAGCTCCAGACAACGCTGGGGTGCATGACAGAACACCTTCTTCGCCAGAGCACACAGCCTGTAAACGTCCTCAAACACCTCTGGAAAAATCTCCAGTGCCAGGCTCAGGAGATGTGCAAAGCAGGTGACATGTCCGGAGTTGGGGAAGAGGACCTTCAAGATGCTGGTGAATGCCTTCTTCATGTAGCTAGCTGAGTCGTTTACAAAAGCCCACACATTGTTAAAGTCAACCCCATTGTTGTTGAGACAGGAAATGACAGCTTGGGACACAGTGGTAAAGCTGACTTTATCCAAGAAAGCAAGGTCTGCTACAACAGGTCGATCACCCACTGGCTGGAGTAGGATGGCGAGTGCACATCTTTCAAAGGAATCGGTCGTCTCATCAAGGATGACATAAATGTCCTTTCCCTCTACAGCATCTTTGATGTCCTGCTCATATTGTGGGTAGATCTTTGGCAGGTACTCTGTACACAGATGGGATGGCACTGGGATAGACCCTCCCTGCTTGCAGTGTTTCTTCAGAAATGTGGAGAACTTGGGCCCCTCCTCAAGAGGTATATCTGGTTTGATTAATTTTCTTGTGAAGTCCAAGATGAACTCCTTTCTCTCAGCTGTGGAGGAAGGGGTCTTTGTCAGACATGAGGCCAGGGTCTGTGTTCTTGCTTGGACTGAAACAAACATAGAAAAAAAGAACAATGGTTAAATTTGGCAAATGAAGAATTCTCAGGTTGAGTTCAATAGCAGGCCTACAGTGGATCTCAAGCTTTGACGCTAAGCACACTCTCTCCTGAAGCGATACACACACACACACACACAGCCCATAAACCTGACACAGAGGCCTGGAACACACAGACACAGAGACACAGCCCATAAACAGCCCATAGTATGTAGCTCCACCATGTCACTTTGCCTAACTTGTTAGCTAGCTAACATTACCTCAGCTAAGTTAGCTAGCTACCCTAAATGGCGTGATGGAGCTGGAGTGACAACATGGGAAGCGTGCCAGGCTAACGTTAGCTAGCTAGCTAACTTGCCACTATGTAGATACAGACAAAAATGTAATTGTCAAGAACAGATATTAGCTAACTGGAACAAACCTGTAGCTAGCTAAAGCATCAGAATGTTTACCTGGTCCACTAGCCCTCCTATTCTTGTGTCGGCGTGACCTCAGGTGCTCCACCGCAGTTTGACGCCATATGTAGTCGATTGAATGCTGACAGACTTTGCAGAAAAGTACTCCTCCATCCTCGTACAGTTGAGCTGGAAACTCCCTGGCTGTTATTCTGGTTGCCAGGTGTTTACTCCTCAGCTCCTCTGCTGTAAATCTGGGCATTTTTTGTTAGATACTTCTCTCCTCAGACAGCTGTCATTAATTCACGGAGCTGTCTGCACCCTGCACCTCTCACTCACACAGGCCAGGGGAGGGGCTATGGTGGGGAGAGAGGGCTACACCTCTGGCTTCCCTTTTCGGTGATTGAAATACATCAATGAAAACAGAGAAAAACATTTAATTCAACAACAAGTCAATTTGATTTAACTTTGCTATCAGCTGGCAGCTTATTTTTAGCTTTAGAATCTGATGCATTCTGCGTGTGCGGATTCCGTGCGGGTCTAGCTATGAGGTGCACTGTCAAGAACAATTTGACCTGACATTCTTCACTGGGCCAACTCCCTGCAGTTTTCAGTAAACAACACTCCCCCTCCTTTCCCCTTCCTCCCTCACCTCAGTGATCTCCCACTTCCCACCATCCCCCTTAGCAAGCAGCGGTAGCGGCACCGGCTCTCGCGAGCTGGTCAAAAAATAAAAACATTCTGGCTAAATCATTAAAGGCTGCTGTTTAATTTGGCAGAGGCGGTGGACCGGCTTTTGTCAGTCAGGCATGCTTATTTCCATTCTAGTGATACCTGCATTACAGACCATTGTCATTTTGTGTCCATACTGTATGTCTGTCTCAGTGTGTATTAGGAAGTGTGTGTGTGCACCCTCGTGCACAGATCGTTGAGGGGTTAAAGGAAACAGATGGCCAGTGTTTCCCATTGCTTAATGTGTTGTAGTGAAACGACAGCTTGTTTGGTTGCGCGCTAATCGCTGTCATCTAGGCCTGATTTATCCCTGCCCAGTTCCTGTCACTGTCAATCAAACGCCTAATTTGAATTAATTAAAGACTTTCAACGGAGCCCCCTTCCTCCCTCCCTTTCTCTCTCTATCTCTTTCTCCTCTCTTTCCTCCTCTCTCCTTTTACTGAACTGCTGAGCTTTTTCAGTCGCACCATTGGTTCCACCAGCCAGCCGCAGCCTCAGATCCAACTTTTCATACGGAGCTGAAAAGGTCATATTTATTCAATACGCAAATATACTTTCACCTGGTGACTGTAACTGATTCTCCTAAATATCGAATAGTAGCTGCTTCATTTAGATTACAACTGAATACAGCAATAACATAATCTAAGGTCACCATTATCTGTGTCCCGAGTTGGCAAGTGATTACATCAGATATGCCGAAATTATATATTTTTTCTTTAGCAGCATTGCTTGATGAATACATTGGTTTTTCATTTGGGGTTGATTTGTTTGAGGACAACCCTGGCTTCATAACATTTAAATATATATTTTTTCAAAGATGAGGATGGGATTTTCAGGATTATTGCCTTTGACAATGAACTCATCTGCTTGCCATAGAATGGCATAAACTGATCTCGTAATTAATGATGATTGCATCAGATATTCACAATTCAATACCGCCATGCTTCTCAATTAGCTGATTCAATCTCCGTTTCATCTAATTGCACCGGTCGCTGAGTTGACTTACATATAGGTGACATACTCTACATATATGGTAAATTAATAAGATATCAAACTATATTGAAAAGCCTTCATCAAAGAACTCAGTATCAGCGATGTAATTCTGTGGCCATACAAATAACCTGATAACATTTGGAGGGCTCAACCTTTGTTCAACCTTCAACCAACATACACTATATATACAAAAGTATGTGGACACCCCTTAAAATTAGTGGATTCGGCTATTTCAGCCAAATCCATTGCTGACAGGTGTATAAAATCGAGCACACAGCCATGCAATCTCTATAGACAAACATGGCCTTACTGAAGAGCTCAGTGACTTTCAACGTGGCACCGTCATAGGATGGCACCTTTCCAACAAGTCAGGTCGTTTTTCATGGTTTGGGCTAGGGCCTTTAGTTCCAGTGAAGGGAAATACAGCATACAATGACATTCTAGATGATTCTGTGCTTCCAACTTTGTGGCAACAGTTTGGGGAAGGCCCTTTCCTGTTTCAGCATGACAATGCCCCGTGCACAAAGCAAGGTCCATACAGAAATGGTTTGTCGAGATCGGTGTGGAAGAACTTGGCTGACATGCACAGAGCCCTGACCTCAACCCCATCGAACATCTTTGGGATGAATTGGAACGCTGACTGCGAGCCAGGCGTAATCGCCCAACATCAGTGCCCGACCTCACTAATGCTCTTATGGCTGAATGGAAGCAAGTCCCCGCAGCAATGTTCCAACATCTAGTGGAAAGCCTTCCCAGAAGAGTGGAGGCTGTTATAGCAGCAAAGGTTGGACCAACTCCATATTAATGCTCATGATTTTGGAATGAGATGTTCGACAAGTGTCACGATCGTCGGATACAGAGGACCAAGGCGCAGCGTTGAAGGCGAACATACTTTTATTATTTAGAATGAACACACAAACAAAAACAACAAACGATAACGTGACGTCCTCGGTTCTAACACAAACCTATACTGGAACAAGATCCCACACCAAACAATGCCAAACGGCTACCTAAGTATGGCTCCCAATCAGAGACAACGAGCTACAGCCGTCTCCGATTGGGAGCCACCCTGGCCAACATAGAAATACTTAAACTAGAACAAAATCCAATGAAAACTCACACCCTGGCTCAACATACTAGAGTCCCCATAGCCAGGGCGTGACAGTACCCCCCCCCCCCCAAAGGCACGGACTCCGACCGCGCCAACAAAACACAACAGGGGAGGGGCCGGGTGGGCACTCCGCCTTGGTGGCGGATCTGGCTCCGGGCATGATCCCCACTCCCTCTCTAACCCCCCCAAAGTACCCCTGGTCCGGTCTGGCCCTGCTGGCCGAAGCTGGATTGAACACTGGTGGAGCGGATTGCTTTAGCTCCGGTGTGGAGCAGCTGACCGGTGCCGTACCAGGCACCGGTGGAACAGGCACGGGCTGTGCCGGACTGACGACGCACACCCCTGGCTTGGTGTGGGGAGCAGGAACGGGCCGGACCGGGCTGACGAAACGCACCACTGACTTGGTGCGGGGAGCAGGAACGGGCCGGACCGGGCTGACGAAGCGCACCACTGACTTGGTGCGGGGAGCGGGCCGGACCGGGCTGACGAAGTGCACCACTGACTTGGTGCGGGGAGCAGGAACGGGCCGAGCCGGGCTGACGAAGCGCACCACAGACTTGGTGCGGGGAGCAGGAACAGGCCGGACCGGGCTGGCGACGCGCACCACAGGCTCGGTGCGAGGGACAGGAACAAGCCGGACCGTACTGGGAACACACACCACTGGCCCTACGCGTGGATCAGGAACAGGCCGGACCGGACTGGCAACACACCCCAGTACCTCTCGCCGTGCCTCTACATCCTCCTTCCCCCTGGTGACCAGTGACTCCCGTAACCTGGCGGCCTCCTGCTGCCCCGTCTCCACGGCGTGAGCCCCCCCCCCCCTAAAAAATTTCTGGGCGTCTCTCCTTCCCGTGGGCCAGGTCTCCATGTCTCTCGCCAGACTCTCGCCCTTCTGCTTCCAAGTCCAGCCTCTCTCCTCCTCACACGGCTTGACCCAGTCGAGGAGGCAACGGAGATCCGCTAGAGATTCCCCTGGCGATGGCTCCTGGACACGCTGCTTGGTCCAGTTTTGGTGGGATCTTCTGTCACAATCGTCGGATACAGAGGACCAAGGCGCAGCGTTGAAGGCGAACAAAAACAACAAACGATAACGTGACGTCCTCGGTTCTAACACAAACCTATACTGGAACAAGATCCCACACCAAACAATGCCAAACGGCTACCTAAGTATGGCTCCCAATCAGAGACAACGAGCTACAGCCGTCTCCGATTGGGAGCCACCCTGGCCAACATAGAAATACTTAAACTAGAACAAAACCCAATGAAAACTCACACCCTGGCTCAACATACTAGAGTCCCCATAGCCAGGGCGTGACAACAAGCAGGTGTCCACATACTTCTGGTCATGTAGTGTATCAACCTACATTGAAAAGGATACAACCTACACTGATAAGCCTTCAACAAATAATTCGAACCCCCATAAGCTGGTATCAGGGTTGGAGATCTGTTGGCGAGTGGGAGATGTCATTCTGTAGATTTGAGATAACTTGGTGATATTTGGAGTTCTCCATCTCTGTTCAATCTACAATGTACATAATATCAACTTATATTGAAAAGCCTGGACAAAGACATCAGCGTTGGAGATCCAGTGGCGAGTAAGAGATCCAATTCTTTGGCGTTCAGATAACCTGATGACATTTGGAGGGCTCAATTGTTCCCAAAGGAAATCGCAGAATGACGCAAAGTACTGTATCCACTCTTCAAAGACAAAAGACTAAAAAGGAGATGTGTACCTCTAGTAGTTGACAAGCTATACAAAGTGTTCCGAGACACCAAGACCACTCCATGGCTATTCTAAATAAAATGGAACATCCAACACAATTAATGATAGGGATTGTAATTTTTTAAAAAGGAAATAATAAAATACAACAATTAATAAAGAAACTATAAATACACTATACTATTCAAGTTAGGGAATGTTGTATAATAATTAGTATTCTATTTTTTATGTGTAGTATTTATAAATAATTTAGATAAAAGATACGACAATTCATGAAATAATAAATCCCCAAATACAAGGACCCAGAACACAAAAGTACCTAAAGCCCGAAATCGGCAAGAATAAAAACAAGACAAATAGGCAACATAAAAGGCACATTATGTGGGTATGTACGGGTGTATATGTGAGGAGAGTGCAGGTGTGTTGGAAGATGGGGTGCCTATGTGTTTTGTGTGTATATAAAAGTGTCATGAGTTAAGTGAGTGAGGAAGGAAAATGTTTTTTGCGAGTTGTGACAGAGCGAGACTTTTGCGCAGATATGGGATATACATTTTAAAATAAAAATATGATGGAACGTTGCCAACCCTATATCCTAGACACCCACCTGAGTGACCCACCCACTAAGGAGAAGTCCTTATCTGTTTTATAGGCCTACTGCAAGTAGCCTACGCAGACATGACAGAAAGGTGAACGCGGTCAGAGACAC